CCAACTTCCATAATGTTAATACTGCATGAATATATGAAATTATAAATCTAAAAATGAAAGCTATTTGGTATATTATATAAGGTCAATATTGACTTGTAGCCACAAAAACGTTAAACACTTTGAAATGTACCTTTTGTATATCATTTTACTGTTTAATTTTACCAAAATATTCTTTTTCTCTATTCACATATTTCCCTTTGTGTATATTGTAATTTTTTAACATGCTTCTATATAGTAAAACATCAATCCTTCATTATTGCTATTCTGCCTAACACTTTTGCTATTTCTTGTCTTTTATCATTTCAAGCACAATGTAAAAATGATATATTCATTGATTTTTATATAAATTTATTTTTATCGAGTATTTTCATTTAATATATATATATATATATATATATATATATATATGCATAAAAGAAAACTTTTTCTCTCATTAATGACTAGGTCAAATTATTACTTACTAGATGTAGCATGTAAGATTAGATTTTAATTCTTGGTAGAATTAAGTATTTTCCCAACAGAGCAAATGCATGTTGGTTGTTATTTTTATGTGGGAAACAGATTTTACAGTTACAAAATTAATCATAATAGGAAAGGTCCTCTTTGTTTTGATTTAATGAGTTATTCTTTTTCTAAGTAAGTTTAAGGTAAGTCCTTACACATAATATGAAAATTAAAATTGTTTGGTTGTCAGAGGCTTTGAATTAAATCTGTTTGATATTTGTAAGCAATTTAAATTAATATGGAAAAATAATGTCTATTCCAAAATTTTAAATAATAGAAAATAAAAGAAAAACCTGATTCTAAGAATGTATCATTGTTTTTTTTTTTGTTTTTTTTTAATGAATAAACTATAGATCCCAAGAGTGTTCTGCTTTTTCATGATTTTGATGGTTTAAGGTTATAAATTTAATTATTTGTATTAATATCTTAAATAATAAAGATTTCCCCATGTAAAAAGAGCCTTGAGGATTAATGTGCTGGTTCATGGATTTGGTGGCATAGTAATGGAGTTCAGAGCAGGGTAGCACATATTTATTGGAAACAGAACTAGCATTAATAACTGTAGTACTTAAAAAAAAAAAAAAAATCTCTAGACATGGGTAATCTATCACTGTAGATTAAATAAAGCGTTCATCTTGAAATTTCCTGAAAGTTACCCAGATCAGAAGAAGGCTGGCGTACACAATGTTAATAACAAAGATAGAGATATTAGTCTGTAAATAATAAATATTTTTGTTTATACTTATTTTTGGAGATTTTCAGAGATATTCTCTTGGCAAGTAACACTAAAATGTTTCCACTCTTTCTTTTATATTAACAAGTGTGTGTGCCTATTTAAAAGAATTTTAAAACTTAAAAAAAATAAAAAAAAACTTCAAATATTATAATATATCTCACAGAGGTTTAATGAGAATACATGAAAGTAAACAAATTGCAAATTAGAATTTGACATTATTCAATTTAAAATACTTTTAACAGAGAATTTATTTAGTTCCAAGAAGCTAATAGTTTCATTTCTGTTTATTGGGATTATGTGGATTTTTGAAAGCTATTCACTTTTTTACTCTATAAAAACTTGAACTCCTGCTCTATACTCTTTAATTTCTTTTCTTTGTGTCTTTCATTGTTGACATTGAAAAGCCTAAGAATATTAGGCAAATTATAGTGGGGGATGCAGGGTGTGATGAAAAGTCCTTGGCCTGGTCCCCTACCTCAAATTAGTATTCTGATTAATGAAATAACTATTTTGGGAAATGGTTAAGGTCAAGAACTCTTCAGCACCTTCTCGTAGAAACAAGCCTCTGTTATGACATCACTTAATAATGAATGTCACCTTTTGTATATGAAAATAATGTTCTACAGTTACAACTAATATCATTAATTTGAAAAAAAAAAAAAAAAAAAAAAACAATAATTTAATTTTAGACTTTCTTAAAAACTAAATTATTTCTACATATGAATGAAATTAAACTCTAACAAAAATGTCAAGATAATTTTTAAAACCTGGTCATTTATTTCTGGTCATTCTTCAAGTTTATTACACGTGTTTTGTGTATTTTGATCTCTGCTTTACAACAACAACTTATAATTCCCTAGCAAACTATTAAGCTATCCTCTGTGTGTTTTATGCATATTTGTTTGCAGTCATTGTTGTACTTTTTTTTTTTCTCGTTCCTTTCAAGTGATTGCAAAAAATGTTTAAGAAATTTAGTAAATTATCATGATTTCTTTATTTTGCTTATTTGTTTTGCTTTTTGCTGAGCCACAAGTGGTGAGTTGGGTGTATATTTTCTTATGACCAGTATTTTATTATATCAAAAAGCATATTGTGTCATTAAAATGATATAATTTCAGTTTTATTTATGCAAGTCATACATTATAAGTCTCTTCATAAAAAAGTAACATTTTAAGAAAAATAGTGTTTACGGCTAGAATTTAAATTTGTACACACACAGATTTCTCTTGATCTTCTTTCTAGATTACAGATTTATACAGGACAGTACTGTTAGCATAGCCTCTAAAGTCAATCTCTTATAGTTCCAAAATTTATGAGAATGTTCTTGATGGTAATTAAAATAGGCTAATAATTAAAACTTTATTCATTGTGGTTTTGTTCTATAAGACTTACATTTTTGATTTTTGATTAAAATAAAAACGAAAAGACTGACTTTGACACTAAATAATCCAACAATCATTGACATGTCATAAAATCAATGAACCTGACCTAACTTAGCATTAAAGGCTCAGCAGATCCTCATTAGCCTTGTATTTTGTCATTCTGTTGCATATAGTAAATTTCAAAATTTATAGTTTGGGTTATCTACCTTGACTATTAATGAATTCTTAAATTCTAGAAAGAAACTAATCCTTTTTGTAAAAAGGGATATATTTATCTCTCTTTAGATCTAGATTTAACAAAGTTAGTCTCATAAGTGATTCAGTTCAATCATTGAAGTTTGTTCCTATATAAGATATATAATCACACATATACCCTCAGAAATATCTCCCAGATAATGGTAAGACATTAGTAGCAGTGGTCTTTTCATCTAACTAATGTCTTATTATCTGGGAGGTAAATGGGGAGATATTTTTTGCTGCACCACACACACACACACACACACACACACATATATATATATATATATATATATATATATATATATATATATATATATATATTTTTTTTTTATTACATAGTTTTATCTTAGGCTGTATAGAACCATGTTTACATGATGATGATGACTAATAAAATTATGTAGAACAGTTGTACACTTTTATATTATTAGTTTTAAGTCTTTCATTATCTTTGTTCTAAATTCCTACAGTTGACTTTTGCTTTCAAATTTTGACAGTGAAAAGAAACAAGAAAAAGTAATGAAAGAAAAGTTTAATTTTAAAAAAATATTTCACCTCCAAAATCTCTATTGAACTTAAGAATATGGTTTCATGTTATAAAAAAATAATGGAGCTGACCTTTTATAAATAGAAAAGTTCCATGTCATCCACAGGATAACTGGCAAATTTATTTCATACACCATCTTTGAATGCAGAATCCTCATTTTAGATTTTATCTCTTAATGATCAAAACATTTTTCTCCTCTTAACCTTTTGAACCTATTTTTAAATCAATCGCTATAAGTAGGATGATAATCTGAATAAATTTATAATTTGAATGTATATTATGTAGTAGTTAAGAATTTTTATTTTTTAAAATCTTATCTAACAATATTGTTTGGTATATTAAAATAAGTATTTTTTCTGCAAATAGGAATTAGAACACCTGTTTGAATTTAGTAAAAATAAAGGTAGTTTTTTTGTTGAGGGTTCTTTTTAATGATCAGCTTTTTTTCTTTAAATTATTAATGCAAATATGATCTTTTTATATATATATATATATATATATATATATATATATATATATATATAACTGTTCCATGTTCATTAAAAAAGAACCCCCTAAAAACACACTTTAATATCGAATGTCAATTTATGGGTTTTACTGCAAATTAGTTCATCAAATGTCAAATTATTGGCCCTTACATTTCATACTATTTTTGATTTCTGAAACCTGGGGAGTTGTAAATTTAAACTTCAAAACCACTTGTTGCCTTTTCCATTTTCCTTTGTTTTATTTTATTTTTTTTTATTTTTTTTATTTTTTAACTATTTCAAAGTGGCAGAAACGCAGAGGCAGTGTTTGTTTTACTGTTGTTTTAAGTATGTTTTGTTTTTTTTCTTTGCTTTTAATGTTGCAGTCATCTTAGATATTTGCATAGTTTTTTCCCACATAATTGGGATCAAAATGAGAATCACAAAGATTAGAAAAAGTTATTGCTTTATTATTTTAGGACATGAATTTTATACCTTATTATTCTTACTACTACCTTGCATTTAGTTTTAATAATTGAGTTTAGTGTGTTGATGAAAAACATTATCTTCACAAATATTTGGATTGCTCTTTTTTTTCTTTTTTCTTTTTTATTGAAAGGTCACAACATATACTAAATCAAATTCACCTTTTTTAAACATTATAAAGTTAGGTATCAATATTCACTTACTTTGGATACTTAATATTGTATGTAAATTTTGTTTAGTTTTATTTCTTTCTTTTTTGTGTCATGAATTATTATATGCATATACACACTAAAATACGCGTATAAATGTACTGTTTTGTTTTTTGACATTTGTATTGGATCTTGAAAATTTAAATCACTTGTTAGAGGAAATTTGAAAAAATGTTAAACAGTTGTATCAAACATCTATTATTATTATTATTATTGCTAATATTCTTGAACTCTTTTGTTATTCATCCATATCTGCACATTTATTCACTATTATTCACTTGTGCATTCTGCTTCTCTATTTTCTCTCTCTCACCCTATTTCTCTCGATTCATGTCTCTCAAGTTATATATATAACCTTATATATCTATACATCTATATCTACATAAATCTTTAAAACCAGATGTCATGGGTCACAATCCTTATATTTATCAGATTCCACGACACCACCATTACAAGGTAGTACTTTGAACCAAGTTATTTGTAAGTGTTCCCTGTATCTTGTGCTGCAATGTGCTATTGGTCTGCATGTTAGTTCTGCATCTTACTTGCTTTATATGTGCTCTGTTTTATATTTTTTCCATTTAAAATATTTTTTCCTTCTGTAAAAAAAAAAAAAAAAATGTTTACCTGCTTAGGTCTGTGGCATGGGATTGCTTGCATTTAGTTTTTGCCTGCCTTGCTGCCATCATCATCATCTCACCTCCTTATTACTATTAGTCAACGGGTGCATGGTAGATACTCAATAGATCTATCCATGTAACCTATTATTACTACTACTGCTGCTGCTATTACTATTATTGCTGTTTCCATTACTACTACTAATATTACTACTACCATTGCAGATTTGAAATTTGTCCAAATTTAAACTGAATATTTAATATTGATTTTTCTTTTTGTTATTTTTTTTTTTATTATTATTATTAAAACAATAGAAAGAGTAAAAAAAAGACAAAATTGCTCGCTCTCTCTCTCTCTCTCTCTCTCTCTCTCTCTCTGAGATGCATCATTGGTTTAATTTTGTTCCAGTATTTCACTCCTTTTCTTCCTGTCCTGCTTTTCTGTTTATGCTTAGAGGCTGTGCATGATTTGGTGTTTGCTGCTGCCTCTATTTAAAACATCTGCTAATGACTGCCTGGAAGGGGTTTTAATTCCTTATGAATAATAATAATAATAAAAAAACTCTTGTCTGCTCTGTTTTTTATTTTCCCCTCTCTCAACTCTTTGTTTGTCTGTCTGTAAGTTTGTGTGTCATATTGTTTATTTGTCTATCCATCCTCTTTTGTTTTTGATTAATGCAGTTCATTTCTTAACAACCATTGCTTGATTGTCAGATTTCTGGTTTCGGATTGTCCAATTTCTCTGTCATTTCTCTGGTCTTCTTGGTTGATTGGAATCCTATATATTTTTTCTGTTCCATTCATTTGTTTCTTACAGTATGGTTTATTTTTGTCAGTGTTTCATTTATGCCATATTGCTAAGACACCATTTTAAAATCTTTTCACTACATTGTGTTTAAAACAAATTGCAAAACCTGTTTATTTAAAAAAGCTTTTAATCTCTTGAAAGTTCGTACTAGATCCATTCTGATTGTGATGTTTTTGGAATTAACATATTTTTCCTTTCAAATGTTTATGAAACATTTGCTCATTTCATAATTTGTAAACATTAAATGTGATAAAAAGCTAATTTTAAAGTTATTTTGAATTATTTTATATATTATTCAATAGTTTTTTTTTATTTTTATGATAAAATACTATTAATATAATCAGTTATTATGAAAACTGGCGTCTTTTATATTATGGCATCAAATTCTGTTTTCCTATAAATGTACTCTCTTCTCAAACTGATGTTTTGGCTCGTGCTTTAATGTAGTTATAGCTTTGAAAGTATGTGGGCTTTTTGTTCTGGCTTTCTGTGTGCTAACATGGTTATGGTTAACTGGTTTCTCTTTTTCACCAATTCACTGTGATTGTTCTATGAAGAATGATCAGACATTGTGGGGAAAGGGCAATCAGCCCCCCAAAAAAGTTGGTTCCATGTTTGAGTTTTCATTCAGTTTATCAACTGTTCTTTTTAGGTGATTATGTGATGCTTATCTGTTGTGCTAGTCAGTAAGCTCAAGAATGTACAAATAAATATCAAGCCATTTTGAGAGAAAAAAAACCCCTAAAAAACAAGCAATTTCTACATGTCTAACATTCATCATATTTTGCAGCATCACCTAATCAAGATAGAACATTGACTGTTTGAAATCTTGTAAATTTGTGAACTGTATGTGCTATCTAATCATAAATGACCCACAATTTCTCCTTATTTTAAATATATTAACATTATCTGATTTTTCTTTTCTTTTTTTATCTGGTTACTCTGGGTTATATATACTAATGCATGGGGACTTTTTCTGTTTAAATTGCGATTTTCTAATAATTTTACTGACCATTTTCTTATTGTTTGCTATATATATATATATATATATATATATATATATGTATATTTATATTTAAAATTTAGAAGAATAATGTAAAGTTTGTCAGATCATCTATATTATGTATATTTTACTATTGTATGTAAGATTTTACATTGTATTTTTTTTATTGTATACCATCTTTAAGTTGAGGAATTGTCAATGTGTTTTCTTCAGACTAGCATTCTTATATTGCTGTTTTTCTAAACAGTGCTATATTTTAAGAAAGATTCCTTTATCATGTTTTTTGCAGTGAATTGTTCACCACATTTGTTCCATGAGGAAATTGTTAATTCCTTTTGATATAAAATGTTGAAAAGTAGAACTGATGAAACTTCCAAGTAATTAGAAGCTTATGAGACAATGATAGGCATAGTTCATTAATTGGTAGTTTTACGAACTGCATTGATTTTACTTGTTGACATTCCTTTCTCTTTTTATTATTTTTTTTTTTCTATCAACACAGAATTGTTAACTTGTGTTTTTAAAAAAAAAAAAAATATATATATCAGGTAACAATTAAATAATTTAATTTTATTTCAACAATATAACATTTTGAACTTCCTGCTTCTGTTTTTGCCAACAGTCACTGGTTAAGTTAACGCATGACATTGAACTCTCAAATTATATATATATATATATTTGTAATCATTTCACCCCCATCCCCCAAGCAATGTGATAAAGCCACTAAGATACAAGGGGATACTGAAAGGGAAAGAAACTGAGAAAACATTGAGAGAGGTGGGAGGGGGGCATTAAAAGACCAGTATTCAAGAAGACAGATGATGATGTATTTAAATTGTTGAAGATTGTAATTGGCAGGAAAGCAAGATGGAATAGTGTAGAATTTATTAGCGTAGAACTTATGGTTACATCTAGCAGTTTCAACAGTAAAATGATGAAAAAATGTCTTATAATTTTCTCCATAATATTTGTCACATGAATTATACTATATTATTTTACATATGAATTTCATGGATGAGAAATTACTATTTACTCTCAGACTATTGTTCTCATCTTTGTTGCTGTTATCACAACTGTTTGGCCCCTTGCATTTTCCAGCCTTCATCACATGATTGCTGACCCAGGTAAATTTCAGGGAGTTTTGAACTGAACCCTTTGTGGAGTAGATTCTCATTCTGCCATGTATTTTCTTATTTAGTACTGCTCAGACTCTGGGAAAACAGTATGAGATGTACTAAATAAGAACATGATCTCCCTAGAGATGGACAGTCGAATGAGAACAATCTACTCATGTGGTCTAAATAAAGTGTTTAGTCAGAAATTCCTTGAGGATTATTTGGATCAACAAGTACTTGATGAATGCTGGAGAGCACAATGTCCAGACAAAGCTAAGACAGTAGTGTAAGTGTAATGGAAATAGCTATATAATTTATTTAAACTTAAAAGAATGCTATTATCCCTTAAGCAATGTTTTTGTCTGCAGCACAGTATTCTAAGCCAGTTTCATTGCAAGTCTCCAAATGCTTCTGTATACAAAGATGATGTAGAAAGTTACTGTTGTTGGGTAGCCAGAATTTACAGTGATTTTAAATAAATGGCTGATGATATCTTTGGAAGTGATCCTCAAATTCCAAATCACCTAATTTACTCTGCCTCAATCAGATTTTTGCGCAGTCTATCAGTTAATGCAGATTTCAATTTGGATTCTTTTCAGTTTCTTGTGTGTTAATGTTAATCACAGTAAATTTGCATTGGACATGTATGGTCCCAAACATATTTCAATTTACTTTGAAATGAGAGCAACCTATTATAGTATTTTGTCATACATAGAGCTTCGTTGCAATCAGAAATAGTTTTATCATTGTTAATGTTGGATTCCTTAGTAGATGTTTAGTATGTTCAGTAGCAGATGTTTGCCAGATGTCACAGTTAGTTGAATTGGCTTATACAGTGAAGACTATTAACCGATAAAGAATTATGCACTTGAATATTACATTTGTGTGTTTGTGTGCCTCTTTTCTAATAAAACTACTTTTGTCCATGTTGGTGTTGTCTTTTCTTGAGGTTTTAGGCAATCAATTTATTAGTAGCTACATAAAAATCTTGCACAGAATTCAGTCTAGATTCTCAGACAGGGCTGTAGACTCTAGTTTATGGTTCGTTTTAAATGTTTTGTCTTAAAAAGAGGTTCAACTTAAATTTCCAGAAATAATCAAAAACATAGCACCAAAAATAGCAAGAAGGAAGGAAATGCTAGTCTGAAGACAAAAAAAGAATGTATTTGAAATATACTTGTTGAATATTTACATTTTGTTAGATTTATAGCAAGAAATATATTTCTTTTATTACTCCAGTTAAATCAGTAAATTTTATGCTGTTCATTTTCTATAATTCTCATTTAATAGAAAAAAAAAAAAAAAGCACCAAAAAACATTGGCTGAAAGTTATTCTGGTTCTTGTTTCAATATTACCATGTAACAGATATTTGTGTAAAAAAAAATGCGTAATAATATGCAAGTAATCTTGCATAATAATATGCAAGAAAACAAGTACCAAAAACCACACATGAAAATACAAAAAAAAAAAAAAAATTGTACAGAATTTTGTGAAAAAGTAACACTAAAAAATGAACTCGTATTGTGTGTGAGTTGCTTGAACCCTATATTTCTCCTAAGTTCCATGGTAAAGTGTGTTACTTCGTTTTGTTTTCAAAGAAATCTATTTTACATTTTATGAGAATAATCAATTTGAATATAATTTTCTCTTAACTTTTGGCTTGTATTTTTATTTACTGTTTTTTCTGTTACAGGAATAAATTTTAAAAAGAAACTTTGTTATATGATAGCATTTAAATATATTGATCTTATCTTCTAAATATCTTTGAAATATTTTAAGATTCGCCAGAACCATGGCCAGTTAATGTAATCTGTCGATTATAGGCTACATATTACTCATATCAACAGTGAGTGATGTGAAGTCACTTTTTTTTAATTTGCTTTTGAAACTTTTTCAAGTTAACATTGTTAGT